CTAATCGGTCTAGTGGAGGTAATTGGCAGCAGGCGGTCTCTCAAGTACCCAGGTCCAATACCATGAAGGGCTTTATAAGTGACGACTAGCGCCATTGAAATACAATCTTATGGTATTCCATTGAAATACTACTGTATGGTACTACTATTCCACCCCCCAAAAAAGTAGTGTTATTAGCTAGTTTTAGAAAATACACTTTCCCAAAAACACTTCCACTACCGTACCTACCTAACTCCATTTCAATCTAATGCAGTGTTTCAACGTTCGTAACTTTTAAAATGGTAACTCTTCTGTCGCTCCGTTAAGAGACATTCGGTCGTTCATAACTTAGCATGGGTCATAAATACGACTGGGACTTAAACCAGGATTACATAAACGGTGGATCGGTACGATGTGTGAACAGGTCGAGGATGTCTTGGGGCCAGCCACCTAGTGGGGCACCTTCCATTTAAGGTCCCCCACCAGGATGTGGAGGAAATATTGTGCAAAAGTGTTTGTTGAGCTCAACAATTCAACGATGGATGGGCTTCGACTCCCAGAATTCCCCAGGTCATTTTGCTCTCCCTGGGGAATTCTGGGAGCTGAAGTCCACACATTTTTTTTTTTAATGGCTGAAATTGAGACACGTTGATTTAAAGTAGGAAAAGCGGGACCTTGAAGCTACGCAAGAATGGAGGAGCTGCCAATCTTTAGCTGCGCTATTGAAAGAAACACTTGTTCGTGGACTTTGAATGTTGGGTACTAGAAAAGGAAGGTGTGGATGGGCTACTTGTGGGGTTTTCCTGGTTAGAAACAGAAGATAGGTCTCAACGGCATCGTAGGCTGATCTGGTAGGACTTCCGTTGTATCTTTCTGAGCTTCATCTGCAGGACAATTGCTTCCCTAACAAACAAAATCTCCTTTGGATGCATCTCCCTGAAGGTGGAGGCATCCTTTCCCCTAATCCCTAACCATTATTAATAACCTCAAGTAGGGAGTTAAACCGAGACGAGTTACTTATTGCTTCTTTGATGCATGGAAACTCTTCTCCTTCGATGATTAACTCGCTCTGCTTTCTAAACACCCCCATCAAGTCAACACAACATCTCAGCGACTGTAGCCCTCCCCTAGTGTAGCTTGCTTCATATTTATGGATTTCAGCTCCCATTATCCCCAGCCAGCCGTGGCAAAAAAAGGGGGGGGATTGTAGTGATACTCCAAGACTCTAGAGAAGAACAAGCTGCTTGATTGTATTTCTCTCTCTTTCTATTTCTCTCTCTATCCCTCTATCTACCTACCAACCTACCTACCTACCCTCTCTCTCCCTATCTACTGTATTTCTATTTCTATTTCTCTCTCTATCTACCTACCTACACTCTCTCTCTCCCTATCTACCTACTGTATTTATCTCTCTCTCTCTCTCCATCTACCTACCTACCTACTCTCTCTATCCCTACCTACTGTATTTCTCTCTTTCTATTTCACTCTCTATCCCTCTACCTATCTACCTACACACTCGCTCCCTATCTACCTACTGTATTTATCTCTCTCTCTCTCTCCATCTACCTACCTACCTACTCTCTCTCTCCCTACCGACTGTATTTCTCTCTTTCTATTTCACTCTCTATCCCTCTACCTATCTACCTACACACTCGCTCCCTATCTAC